TATATATAAAATTCTCTTGTCAGCTGAGGTCAACTCAGGGATATTTCTCTCCCTACCTTCCTGTGTTCCATTTCCCAAGAGGCTGGCAAGAGTTTAATCTGCCATCCTTCTTACCATATGGAAAAGCCTTTCTCAGTATTTCCATAACACCAAGTGAATATTATTCTTAAAGTTCAGATGAGAACAACTTTTCCTTTTTGATGATGTACTCCATTTCTATATTTTTAAAAGTAAATATCACAAACCAGGCTTTATGCCAGCTGAAAAATGTTTTGAACTGTGGAAGTATATGAAAAAATTCACTGCAAATAAAATCTTACTGTAACTCCCCACCCCACCTCCCCTTTTTTTTAAAACCAAAATGATAAATTATTGGTTAGGTGTCAGTGAATGTAATGGCTAGTAACTAAAATGTGCTTTAGCCCTCTGGCTGGGTCAGGATTTTCCCTTACCTTTGGTAAGTTATTTAGTTGTGCTCTCTCCCATGGCCAGAGATGGTATCACCACCATGTATAGCCATTTGACCTCAGGAGCTGTTAGCCATAAGAGGCCAGGCAGGACACTATGGATTGGGTAATCTGTTTACTACTACTGGGAAAACAAGGCATGCCGTACGTCCTGTTGATCATGCTTTAATACCATCATCTATTTAGTGAATAACTGTAGCTAGCTGTCAAAAGCTCCATGCAAGGGAGGTTTCAAGGTTTAATGGCAAAGTAAAATAAATTTTATTTCCTAGGTTACTGCTTAAGTTCCTAGTCAGAATTTATTGATAATAACTTAAAAATATCAGATTTTTTCCAAGGTATATATTTTTTCTACTGTGTATTCTGGTAACTTTAAATTTCGTTTAAAGTGTGAAATTATTTTGTATTCAGTACCTGAAAAAATGTGAGTTGAACCTTTTTTAAAATGTTTATATTACCTAAAAAGAATAAGAAAAACAGGAAATTATGAGGTATGTGTTACAATTCAGAATAACAGTCTTAATACTAATCATTTGTATGTGCAGGATTTTAATGTTAATCTAAATAACACATAAGGGTTTCATTGAGCCAAATATTTTGCTCAAATGCTAAACAATAACATTCTTGCTTATTTTAATAAACAGATGACGTTGAATCTTTTTCTTTCAATGTACATTACACAGGCTGCCTTTTAAGCAGATGTAAGAGCATAGAGAATTTTATTTTGAGTGATTGAATTTATAAAATGCTTTTAAATGGACTTGTGTTTGAAAGTTCTTAATATTCTAAGATTCTATCAGGAAAAGAATTTCCTTTGCAAACTTGGATGCAGAATGGGAAGTTATATCTATTTCATGTTTGGGACAACTGTTTCACTATATTGCTGCACTATTTTAAGTAAAACATCCGAATTTCCTATAAAATAGGCTCATTCCATAATGTCTTTGCAGATTTGTGACTGTACTCCTCTTAATACTTGTAATGTAAAGATCCGAAATGTACTATTGTATAACACATGCACTAACCTGTTTTCCAGGCAATATTTGACTGGGTAGATATTGCTGGTAGTAGGTTAGCTTCAATGTCACCAGTTGGAACAGATCTTGAAACTGTCAAGCAACAGATTGAAGAGCTAAAGGTATGTATTGGGATAACTGATTTATCAAATACTTCCTTGCATTTTTAAGTCCTTGATTCAGGGGATTCTTTATACAAATTTATTTCTTTTACGTAATTGAAGCATTACATTTTGATTATGAAACTTGCATAATATTTGTAAAGCACTTAGAATATTGTCTGGCAAATAGTAACCGGTATATAAGTGCTTATTAAATAAGTGAAATAAAGTGCTAGTTGTTTTGTATTAAATTAATGCCTGTTCATTGTAAAAAATCAGAAAATACAAATAAGCAAAAATAAATACAGAAATGAAATTTTAATTTCTTAGTTAAAAAAAAAATTAAAGCCACCCAAAGTGCTGTGCATCTAGAGGCAAACACTCATCAGATTTCAAGTCTGCTCATGTTGGGACAGAGTGGTGTGTGTGTGTGTGTATGTGTATATGTAACATACGCACACACACATATATATATATGAGAGAGATATTTTATGTAAATATGGGATCATACTGTAAGGATTTGTACAGCTTTTTTATTCAATAGTGTATTGTGATCAATACACATACAGTAAAATTTTCATATTCTTTAGTAACTTCTGTGTTAATTCATTTAGTCTAACAGGTTAAAGACACGTTTATGGTATAATAATGATTTGCAGAATGATTTTTTTTTAAATGCTTTTTGTTTTCTCATCTTTTTTTTTCTGTAATTTTTGCTTTGTGGCTCTTGATCTCCAGCTGTGAAAAATGGCTGGACTGTTTCCTCTTTAAATTCCTCTGTACTGATGATCATTTATTTATCAAACTGGGATCGGCTGTTTCCTTCCTAATTTTAAGTCCCCATTCAGCACATCTTTTTCAAGGAAGTGACCTGGATTTTTATATAAAATTATTATCTGCCTTTAAAATTATAGTCTTTTTATCTCTAAGTGTGACAGAATATTTCATTTGGATATAATTTTTTTTTAATTTTTGAGATTCTTACTGCTACCATCGTTAGATTGAGGTATCTTTTAGCCTTATCTGTTTGTGTGTAAACACATAATATACTTTATGTACAATTACAAGTGTGGAGAAGAGTTTATTTTGTGTATTTACATATATATCAATGGTTTTCATACAGCAGGCTAGTAGGAGTGCTTACCCTGATACCAGGCTGCCTAAGTTTAGATCCCAACTCATCCATTTACTAGCCAAATGGGCCTGGGCAAGTCATCCAAATGGTCTTACTTTTTTTTCTTTTTCTTTTCTTTTTTCTTTTTTATTGTACTTCAGGTGAAGGCTTACAGAACAAATAGTTTCTCATGAAACAGAAGTACACATGTTATTTTATGACATTGGTTAACAACCCCACAGCATATCAACCCTCCAACTTCTCAACCTCTTTTTTTTTTTTAGTGAAAATACACATAGCCAAACATATACCATTTCAAAAGTTTCTACATGCACAGTTCAGTGACTTTGACTACACTCTTCCAATTGTGCTGTTATTCTCACTTAAGATGAAGGCTTACAGAACAAAATAGTTTCTCATTTAACAGTTACTACAAATGTTGCCCTATGACAATGGTTAGCAATCTCACAACACATCAACAATATCCTTACTCAACCTTAGGTTCCCTATCCCCAGCTTCCTTGTCCCCTTCTGCTTTCTGGCCCTTGTCACTGGACTCCTGTACCTCGTTAGTCGCATTTGGTTTTACGGGGCTGTCCACTTCCAGGCTGAACCGTGAACCTCGGAGGTAACTTCACCACTGAGCTAAAAGGGTGTCTGGGGGCCATACTCTCGGGGTTTCTCCAGTCTCGTTT